GGCAACTTAGACATTGACTACCTAAAATGAGGGGGCAGTAAAGGCACGAAGTGACTGGCTTACAAGGTTTCAAGAGGGAGTTTAGTTTAAGAGTATGGGGGGAAAGAAAGAGTCCCCACTGAATAGCTGTCATCTTGTCTAGATGGGTCTGGTGAAATGAGATGGGGATAAGATTCATAAGATTCAATTGTGAATAATAGTTATCATGACTAATCACTACTGTCACAATTATAAATGTAGAAGTTTTGTAACAAAAAAAAGGGGAGTGGTTAATCTTACAGTCCAGAAACAGAGGACCCTAGGACCATCAAGAGAGAAATGAACATGCAGAATGCATGACCTTATCCAGAGAAGGAGCAGCGCCAGAGATGGAGGCAGAGATGGGGGCATGGAGAGGAGTGGCTGAGGACTCTAGATTTGTGGACTAAGAAGAGAGGGACTAAGAGCTGGTAGCCAGGAGGCAGACTTGCAGAATGCGCCCTTTGGAGATGTAAATGATTATATATGCCTGAGTGGTTTTTTGTTTGTTTGTTTTTTAAAAAGCTACAGTGGATAGAGAGAAATACTGTTAACTGATGGTACATGGAGGGGATTATAATCATTATAATGAAACAAGGTATATGATTTGTTGAATGTAAAACTGATGATATGCCCTGTAAACTTTCATTCAATCCACAATAAAAACCTTAAAAATTGTTTTTAAAAAAAAATTAGTGCAGTAGGCTAACATGAAGAAGGGATCTCATCTCCCATTTGCCAGGCTCCAGGAGGGTCTCAATTGCATATTGAAACTGTTTTGTACCAGCACGATCCCTTGCTGTCCTGCCTGACCTTCCAGTCACACAAACCTTTCTGGTCACACTGATTCTGCGTCCAGCTGACTGGGCCTTATCTGAACCACAGTGAGGATTAACTCAAGTACATTGTCCTATTTGAGCACTGCCCCCTGTACTTCAGTCTCTACCATTTCCTAGTCACTAGACCCCCCACAGTGGAGTCCTGGTGTGACACTGTAGGTTAATGTGCTGGATTGCAAATTCGGTTGAATTGCAAGAGGTTTAAGCTCACTGGATCCTCCTCAGAAACCTTATACAGGGTCACTATGAGTTGGAACACACTCCCCGGAACAGACCCCCAACAGCACTCTGGTAGCCCAAGGGAATTTCTTGGGTTCTTTTTTGTGTGTACCCTGACTCCCCAGCCACTGCTTTGGTCCCCTGAAGAGGAAGACCCAAGACTCTTTATTCTTGACTTTCAAGGCACACTACCCTCTTCTCTGAGGGACCTGGAACAAGTGCAGGATAACACACCCAGGTCCAATCTCAGGACAGTGAGTATTCTTAGGCAAGAGTGTTCTAGGACCAGGATACCTCAGAAAGCCAGAAATCAGGGTCCTTGAAGCCAAGGTTTAATCACAGTCTCAGCACACGCACATGCCCTGCCCCACTTGGTCCAGTTCACTCTTTCCTCTCACAAAGGAAGGCAGCAAAACTTCAGAACCCCAGGTGTGCAGGCACTGAACTGGATATTACAAAGGGTAGAAAAGTACAGAAATAGAAACACTGCAATGAGAAGTAGAAGCTGAGGTATCTGCCCTAAATACAACATTAACCAACATTTATTTACAGTCAACAAGAAACACTTTTCACATACAGTATCTCATTGGATACAGTAGCTATTGATGCCCTCAGTATTCAGATGATGAAACTGAAGTTCAGAGAATGTCAGTTGACTGCTTAAGATGACACTGGCTGATAGAACTGGAACTCACACCCAGGTCCTCTCACCCCAGGATTAAATGTTTACTGGTGAATGAAATAACAAGCAAACTGATGCACATAGTGTTGCAAGATTTATAAAGATTTCTGCCAACATTGTGTCACTTAATCCTCACAACAGCTCTATGAGGTTTCATACACCATGATTTATTTACAGATGGGAAACCTGAGGTGCTGGTTAACAAATTTCTTCAAAGACACACAGTAAGCAGCAAAACCAAAAGAAGAACCATAGGTCTTTGATCTTCCATTTTCCCCCTATACACCCTACACTTTTACTAATCACTCCAGCGCTTAACATAATGCTCGATACCTATGAGACAATAAATATTTGCTGAATAATTGAAAGAATGAATGGAAGTGTGCACAGAATCAATATCCAAATATGAATGGGGAAAAGACTTTTAAAAGCTGACGCACTCTTACAAGTAAGGGGTTGTTAGAAAAATCTTGTCGCCCACTCTGTTCACTCCTCTCATACATTAACCAACATATCCCTCCTGCACTGAAGGAATTTCTCCTCCCAATTTGGCCCATTTCATCCTGGGAGGGAGGGGCTCTTCCAGGTACCTGGGACCCTCATATTTGCGCCTCTCCCCTCGCCCCTTGCTGGCTCAACAAATTGAGCCGGGAGAGTGAGGGATGGGGGTTCGGGAGGCCGCCATTTGGAGGGTCGTAGGAGGGGCCCCAAGAAAACAAGGGGGCTCTCGTTGGGGGAGGGGGAATGACGGCGACTGGAACCCCAGCGGGGCGGGGCGGGCCCGCACGTCCGTGCCGGGCTGCGGCGGAGCGAGCGGGGCCAGCTCTGCAGAAGGCGGCGGCTGGCTAGCCGGGACGGTCACATCCCGCTGCAGGGGCTGGTTGAGCAGCCACACTCCCTCCCACACCGGGGACCCAGGACAGCGACCAGGCCGTGCCGGCAACGGCCCCGGCTCTGGGGCTGACTGTACTGCTTGTCCGAACTCCCGGGCTTCGCAAATCTGCGGCCGGAACCCCCTCCACCTCCGCCCGGGGCCCAACGCTCGAGCCCGCGCTGCAGCCTCGCCAGGCCCGCGCCGGGATGGGGTAGGGGCAACGCCATAGAGTTGGGCGATGGGCCGCCCTCTGGGAACCGAGCAGCCCCCCGAGGCCTGACAGACCGCGAGGACCGACGGAGGTGGGTGTGGGCCCGGCAAAGCAGAGCACTAGCGGACGCCCGGGTGCTGAGGGGGTGGATAAGGCATGGAGTTAATGGGGGTTCTGGAACTGCTGTGTGGTCGTGGGGAACCCGGGTGAGCTGCTGTCCACGCGTGCGTTCTGGACAGTCCTTGACCCCCTACACTCCTGCTTCTGCTAGGAGCTCCTCCTGGATGTCAAGCGGATGCCCCAGTGCCCCCCAGTGGACTCGATGGGGACCATGGCTTCACTGATGCCCCTCTCCCCATATCTAAGCCCCACGGTCCTCCTGCTGGTCAGTTGCGACCTAGGCTTTGTGCGAGCAGGTGAGTAAAGAGCGATGGAGGTCAACCAGAGCTAGCCTGTGGGTGAAGCATATTGACCTGTTAACACACTGGCACCCACAGACCGGCCTCCCTCTCCTGTGAATGTGACGGTCACTCATCTCAGAGCCAACTCGGCCACTGTGTCCTGGGACGTCCCAGAAGGCAACATCGTCATTGGTTATTCTATTTCCCAGCAAGTATGAAACAATCCTCTGCTCCTTCAACCTGTGTACATTCTTTTTGTTGCCCCCTAACCACATGCCCTGAGAGGTGGGGGAATCCAGGAACAGGTGTTTCCTAGTTCAGGCTGTCCCTTTCACATTACTTCTTGCCAGTGCTTAGATGGGTAAGTGTTCTGGGTCAAGCCTTGCAACCTGGGACTGGGGTGAGACTGTCTCCCTCTCCCAACATTTCTCTGCAGCGGCAGAATGGTCCAGGGCAGCGAGTGATCCGGGAGGTGAACACTACCACAAGAGCCTGTGCCCTCTGGGGCCTGGCTGAAGACAGCGACTACACAGTGCAGGTCAGGAGCATCGGTCTTAGGGGAGAAAGCCCCCCGGGGCCCCGGGTGCACTTCCGAACTCTCAAGGGCTCTGACCGGCTCCCCTCAAACAGCTCAAGTCCAGGTAAGAGTCTGATCTATTCCCTACTCCCTAAATCTTTGGAATCCCTGGGTTTTTGTCGTTGTTGTTTGTTTGTTTAAAAAAACCTGGTCTTTAGTCTCTTTTATTTACTGCCCCAAGACAAGAAATAGTCTAGCTTAGATGCATAAAAGGATGACTTAATTCATTGTACTGCCCGTGGAAGAACAAAAAGCAGGTAAGCTGGGGAATGGGTATAGACAAGCTCATAATTAATTGTTTAGTGGAAGGGCTTTCAAGTTTCCTTCTCTCCAACCTGAAGTCACAGCAGCTGAGGCCTGCATGGGTGAGTACCTGACCTGTAAACCTTTTCTTTCAGCCTCTAAAGATCTGTCCACCAGTGACTTCCTCCCAGAAAGGAGCTACCCTACAACTTCAGGGGCAACCCTATGATGAATCTACTCTGATGCTAATCCCCAGCATCTCCATTCAAAACTGTCTATTTAGATACAGCTCTCTAGCAGCTTCTTAGTAACTCGGAATCTGTCCCCTCCCTTCTCAGGTGATATCACAGTGGAGGGTCTGGATGGAGAACGACCACTGCAGACAGGGGAAGTGGTCATCATTGTTGTGGTGTTGCTCATGTGGGCTGGTGAGTAAGTAGTAGACAGGAGACCAGGGACTGAGGGAGTGGAGCTCAGTGAAGGTTGGAAGTGGTAAAGGTTGTTGAGAGAAGAGAGTGAGAGAAATGAAAGGGAGATGCTTTGTTGAGAGGGATGATCAGGGGAAGCTTGCAGAGAGGAGAGGAGACTATTGGAAACCCAGAGAGGAAAATTGAGAGAGTGGTACTTGTGCATGGGAACCAAGAATTCAAAGATTTTTCTTCTTGAATTTTCTAGAAGCTGCATGGGTATCTTGCTGCCTTTCAAGGCTATGATTAGGAGGCTGAGATCAAGGCTCAGATTTGTATTGTTGCTATTTCAGCTGTAATTGGACTGTTCTGCCGTCAGTATGACATCATTAAGGACAACGACTCCAACAACAACCCCAAAGAGAAGGGGAAGGGGACGGAACAGAGTCCTCAGGGAAGACCAGTGGGGACAAGACAGGTGATGCAAGGGGCAGTGAGGGTGGGAAGGGTGATTTTTGCCCTTGAGAAGTGCCAGGGAAAGTGTAAAGACCAAAGAGGGGTAGGAAAAAAGGGAGAAATGCAAGTCTTGGATGGAAGAGGCTGGAGACAAGGGGTGGTGCCTATTAATTTCCTGAAATTAGAGATTAAAATTTTTTCTTTCACAGAAAAAATCACCATCTATCAACACCATTGATGTATGAGTAACAGACACAGAACCAGAAGAGAGATGTTCTAACAACCTGGGGATGGGGTTAGGGAGAGCCTAAGATGATGATCTGCCCAAGACTGAAAGATCCTACAGTCTCCAGAGGCTAATGACACTTCCACAATCTCAAGCCTAGTGCCCATCCTCTTTCCACTGTGAGCAGGGCCAGAAAGTAGGATACAGTCTGTACCCCTGGACCTGGGGAATTGGTATCAGATAGGCTGTCTCCTCCTAGCCTCTAGTACAGGGGAAAGTCACTTGTTCAACCCTATCCCATTAGGCTCTAAATAGGGGCCCCATTTCACCTACATCAGGACTCTCAGCATCCCTGGCTGTCCCCATATTTGCCTCTGGGTTTCATAGAAAGATGTTTCCTCTTCCCCCAATAAATTAAAGGAATTGTCGGGGCCTGGAGGCAGATGCTGCACTGCACTACTCCAATGTCTTCCACGGAGCCTCAGGTGCTCCCCCTCTCACCTGGCAGCCCCTGCAGCTGCTGGTGAGCTCACTCCTTGACATTTTTTCAATAAAGGTTCTTGGACAAACTGGAGCTGGCTTTATGGTATACTGTATAATATAGCTGAGGATATTTCCCACCTTGTCTCTCTCGTGACTATGCAAAAGCCCCTCACATAAACAACATTTGCTTCAATTCTCCATCTTATAATACATGGAGAAGGTCAAGAAGAAGGGATGTAGAAAACTAGAGCCTTTTGCTTTGTTGCATGAGAAGAGGGAAAGGGACATGAGAAAAATCTAAGTTCTTCTGGCACCAGTGAAAACTAAGATTATGTCACTTAAGAGGGCCAATAACCTTTTTATCTTCATGAACTATCCATACTGACATCCCAACTCTACACCATTTATTCTTCTCTTTCATCAAACCTGGGCAGAAATGGACTGAGCAGTGTTCTTGGGGGAACTAACAAAAAAGCAGCTTCATGAATTGGATCTCTTGGTGCGTTGGACTCCTCTATGTGAATCCCTGCTGCTATTCTTTCTGGCCTTTATTTTCCTTTTGTTGTTCAGTTGTTCAAAGTCACTAATAATTGTGAAGTGTAAATGAGTTTACATTCAGGCTCTGCCACTGTGTCCACAGGAGTATTCTGGAAATAAAAGAGGGGTTTAGACTCCCCAGGCAAGAGAATTAAAATTTGGGCTCTGTCCATCTGGGGCCTATTTGAAAATAGGGTCTGTCCTCTACTTTCTCCTAATTTCCAAGTGGAATTGGTGGCAGGAAGAGAAATACATGTTGACATTTGTAACCATTGTGGCACCCAGAATCTGTCTGGACAGTATTTGCTACACTTTGCGGAGAGCTAAGGATCTTCCCAATTTGGGATAATTCTAGAAAAGGTTTTGTGAATGTCTTCTTTACTGCCACTGTCTCTCTGGTGCGTTGCTGTAATTCTGGAAGGGACCCTAGCTACACAATCGGAAAATTAGAAAGTCAATGTCTTATCTACTTAACCCAAACTTTAATTTCAAGTATCCCAAGATTTACTCTATCAGCTGAGCGGAGTTCTGGTCTGCCATCCACCCAGAGCCATAAAGGCATTCTGATCTAAGAAGTCTTTAATCCTGTCTCCCAAATGGGAAATAGGACTTTTACCTCTCCTTGGTCACAGGTTCCAGAACACTCATCTCACAGATACTGGATATATCATAATTCCTTGGAATGGGAGTGTCACAGACTAAAGTAGTCTGGCATGGAAATAAGGAACTAGGAGTTGAGAAGGAGTATAAAGGCGTTTAAATCCACCAGCTCTGGGTTGAAACCCAGTTCATTGGTTTCTTGTCTGTTAGCTTGGAAAAGTGACCCCTTGTAATCCTGAGTTTCTTGTTATGTTAAATGGGACTGATGATAGTATTCCCTTCAAAAGGTAGTTTTGAAATTAAATGGACTAGTGCATGAAAAACACTTTGCATAGTACCTGGCAGACGCATACTGAGTATTCATTGCTAGCTATCAAGATTAGCTTTATGATTCAATACAAATCATAATAACCTTTTTGGGTTCAATAACATCAGCTGTAAACGGCATATAATAGCAACTGCTCTGCTTTCTTTCTGGGTTGTAAAAATCAAGAGATAACGCACTTAACTACGCTTAGTATCCTAGCCAAAGAAGTAAAAAGACTAAAGATTAAGTACCAGTTCGCTGAAGGTTTGTGTTATGGGCGTGACTTGGTCTTGTGAGTTGCAAGCAGTAACGCGATTGGTGGAGGCGAGGGTTCATCACTCACTCTCGAGGTCCCGCCCTACATCTGACTGCGCTTGCGTACGTTTTATTTGCTTTACGGTGAATCTACGTGGGGCCCTTGCGACGTGTGTTGCGCTCTGGTCGCATCTGCGTCTGCGTCTGTCGCAGCGTCTGCGTGACGGGTTGTCCAGGTAACCGCGGGAGTTATCGCTGTCTGGTGGCATCAGAGAGACAGGTCTTCGTCATGCAGTTGAAGCATCTTAGGACCCTGTTGAGCCCTCAGGTGAGAAGTTGGCGCCTCTTCTTACGCCGCCTGCTTTCAGATCCAAGAAAAGTGGGGGAAGTGAAGTTTAAGGATGTTGAGCTCCTACTGTGTGCGGAAGACTGTCAAGAATATAGGGATGATTTGGACTCTGCTCCATCAATACAGACTGTTTTAGGTGACAGGACACATAATTCTAGCTCATTACATTTCCTTTAGCATCCGTTATGTACGAGGCCCCGTGCTGGGACTGTTGTTGTTGTTAAGTGCCATAGAGTCGGTTCCGACCCATAGCGACCCTGCAGAGGATTTCCAAGGAGTGACTGGTGAGCTTGAACCACCAACCTTGCAGTTCACGCCGACTTTGCAGTCTAGCGCATTATCTGGGACTGTTGTTATATGCCGTGGAGTCTGGTTCCGACTCATAGTGACCCTGTACAGGGTTTCCGAGGCTGTTCGGGAGCGGAAAGCCTCATAGTTCTCCCACGGAACAGCTGGTAGTTTCGAACTGTTGACCTTGAGGTTCGCAGCCCGGGTAGTAACCACTACGCTACCAGAGCTCCCTAAGGGCTTCCAAATCACTGAAGTTATTGTTCCTGCCTTCCAACGGCCCATTCTACGGGGAGAGGCGCACATGTAAATAACAAACATAAATCTGCACAGAATTAAACAAGAGCTAAAGGTGCTCTGGTAGCGTAGTGGCTACGAATCGGGCTGCGAACCGTAAGGTCAGCAGTTGGAAACTACCAGCTGCTCCGCCGGAGAAAGATGAGGTGTTCTGCTCCCGTAAAGATTAACAGCCTTGGAAACCCTGTGCAGGGTCGCTATGAGTCGGAACCGACTCCACGGCACATAACAACAACAACATGTGGCGCTGTGGGTTAGTGCGTCAGACTGCAAAGCCGTTTGAACTGCAAGGTCGGCGGTTCAAGCTCACCAGCTGCTCCTCGGAAACCCTGTACAGGGTCGCTATGGGCCGGAATCGGCTCGATGGCACTTAACAACAACAATATATATAAGTGCAGGCCCCTAATAAGTAGCCCTGACTACATAATTTCTGAATGTTTCCCTAGCTTCTTCATTTGGAGAATGGGAGTGATATTAGCCGTTTTAGGAGAATTGGGGGCGTGGAATTAATTGAATATGTACGAAAGAACTTTGCAAACTAAAACTCCAAGCCAAAGTCACTACCATTGAGGCGATTCTGACTGATAGAGCTGCCCCATAGGGTTTCCAAGGCTGTAATCTTTATGAAGCCAACTGCCACATCTTTCTTATGCAGAAGCAGCTGGTGGGTTTCACCTACCCACTTGCTTTAACCACTTGGCTTTCCAGGCTCCTTGCAAACTAAAAAGTAGTATGAAAATTGGTAGATAAAGAAGGTAGGACATCCAAAATTGAATGAACAGAATAATATACAGCTAATAATTGTGGTGTTGTAGGATAAACCACTGGACCACAAGGTCGGTTTGAACCACAAGGTCAGTGGTTCCAACTCGCCAGCGACTTCCTGAAACGGACTCGAAGGCACTTAACAGCAGCAACGATAAGATTAATATCTGCCACTTCTGAGAGCTTGTTATATACCAGGGCAGCATCAATAAAGAAGTTAAAACTATGGCCCATTACAAACTGTGTATATAACCGTTAAGCAAGTTACTTAACCTTTTTGCCTCATTTTTTCCACCTGTAAAATGAGTATAATAATAGGATCTATTCCAGAGTTATAAGGTTAAATGAGATAATGCATTTCAACCACTTAGCAAAATGTCTAGTCTCTGTGGTGCTTGTTAAAGATTAGCTGTATTCTATTCCTTGCCTCTTTAAATTTTCACCACAGTACTGTCAGTGCATACTGTGAGGAAAGGAGAACTAATTGATTATGGAAATCAGAAAGACTTTGCAGATGTAGGATTTGGAAACTACAAGGAAATTAGAACAAAAGAGAGATGTGCTCATTGTTCAGTAAGCTATACCCTGAATGTGTAATTTTAAAGTTCCTTTTACCCTAATGGAACAATTGGAAATGAATTCTCCTTCAGTCTTTCAAAAATAATATGATGTCATGATGCAGGGAAGGCTGAGTGCCCAGGACTGGGCAAAATGCTGAAGCAGAATGATCAGCAAAAGTTGTTGAGCCCTCAGTTCTTCTAACCTAATGTAATCAAGACTTGGAGAATGATGATGTGGGGTATGGCTTTTTTCTGAGTGTGGCTTAAAGATGTTGATAAAAAGAATCGTAACTTTATGCATTCGGAAATAGATGTATTAGGAATAAAGTGAAAACAACAGTGTGTTAAGCCAACAATTGGGGCAAAACGTAGGAAAAAAAATTTTCAAGGAGGGAAATTCTTAGTGGCAGAAACATAGAGAAATAGGGCTGGTGGTGGGAAGGGCAAACGTGACATGAATACTTCACTAGGCTTCTGTGAAGTGAATAGTTTTTAAAAAGTGGCATTGTTTATCCTAAATCGCCCTATTTCCAGAATTTTCACTGTCTCCCTCTTTCATCCCATATAAGCCCAAATTCCTTAGCCTGGTTGGGAAGACCCTTCCTGAGCTAGCCCCAGTCTGTTTCTCCTGTCCTGTCTCCTCTATTCTGCTATTTTCAAGGCAGAGTAGCTAAATTCCTGCTTCTTGACCAGAAATTGCCTTTGCTCATGCTCAGATAATTTGCCCACTCAATCGCATCCGTTCTTCAAAGCCTGATTAAAGAGGGCAACACCCCCCCTCCCAGGAAATGAATTGGCACAGTGGCAGCTGCAATGGGCATAAGCATAGCAGCAATTGTGAGGATGGCGTAGAACCAGGCAGTGTTTAGCTCTGTTGTGCATAGGGTCACTATGGGTCAGAAACAACTCGACGGCACCTAACAGCAACAACAAACAAATTTATCCAGACTTCTCCACATATTACAGTATTTGTATGTATCTCTCTTTTGGGACTTTTCTTGTTTGCACCATCTTTTCAGATCCTAGGAGTCCTGGTGTGGCGCTGTGGGTTAATGCACAGGACTGCAAAGTCTACACAAAGTCGGCAGTTCAAGCTCATCAGGCACACCTCAGAAACCCTATGCAGGGTCTCT